CACACACACACCACACACACCACACACACATACACACACACACACACATACATATTTTTTCAAAAAGCAACAATGTGTTTTTTAAACCAATTGATTCATTTTATTATTCTGTGCATAAAATTTAAGTATCAAGATACATGGTCCAAAAATCAATTTACGAGATATTTTATGCTTTATGTTGAAATATAGATATATAATGGCAGAATAAAGTATAAAATATCTCGTAATAAACTATTAATTTTTCGATAACTCTATCGAAATATTTTTATTATGCAGAATAATTAGAGAAATCATATTAATGAATAGAAAAAATAATTTAATTTTATTTATAAAAGTGAAGATAACTTTTATATCTTTTTGGCGCTTCCACTTATTGTTAAAAAAAACATGACTCAATACGTTCGATCTTCTCGAAACTATATTCCACTTAATTTTATTTACAATATTTTTTCGTATCGTGAACAAGTGAAATTATATATTCAAGGTGTTTTGATAATTAAATCTGGCCGACCACTCTGCAGTATATATATATAATATACCACATAAATATAATATAAATGATATAGTATTCATAATGTAATATTATACCATGTAAATCTATTATATAAATTTTCATATGAAGTTTTTACATCCCTATAGATGGATTTTCCTACAATATGTAGATTTTCATATGGACTTTTATATAATACATCATGTGGATTCCCAGATGGATTTTCATACACTATCTGGGTTCCCAGATAGATTTTTGCATACACCATTTGGATTCCCAAGTGGATTTTCATACACCCATGTAGATTTTCATATGGAGTTTTATACACCATGTGGATTCCCAGATGGATTTTCATACACCATCTGGGTTCCCAGACAGATTTTCAAATACCATCTGGATTCCCAGATGGATTTTCATACACCAAGTGGATTTCCATATGGATTTCCATACACCATGTGGATTTCCATATGGATTTCCATACACTGTATGGATTCCCATATAGGATTTTTAATATCCTATATGGATTCCTAGGCATTCCCATGGGTTCCCATGGGAATCCACATGGTTTTTTTCAACAGGGTTATTCATCTGTCATTAGGATCCCCTAGTGTTTTACTGCGCGAACATCAGCGGTGCCGCGAGCAGCGGTGCCGCGAGCAGCGACCCTGAACGCAGAGCCATCAAACGTCGCATCACGAGACGACGCTGTATTCGAGAAGGCTTCTACGTGCCTCCCTTTAAACGCAACATTCGAGGAGGCGTACCTTCCCGCAACTTCGAACGCCCCCGCACCTTGAGGCGAAGGGGCAGGAGGAACGGAAGGCACCACAGGCAATTCCCTACGAAATCGAGGGGACGCCATTCATCCTGGCATTCGCATCCCCCC